CCCACCACACTGGTAACCTGGGTTAAACGAATACAAAGCAAATCTCCAACTCTCATCTGTTAGGGTCGCTCTATGATTTTCAATCATTATTTTATTTATTTAACATTGAAACAGACTATTATGTGCTTCAACGAGTGTTTCCTTGCAGGAGTATATTTGTTTTATTCCTAATAATGATTCATATTGGTGACAACTTTCCAATTTCTCAGTTGTGTTACCCTCATTAAACATTTTTGTTGACTTTATTGCTGAGTGGAACTTCTTCAATGAACCCTCCCTAGCAGACAGGAAGTCGAGGTGCTTACAATATTGTCAGACAATGATGCAATAGCTACATTTTGAATATAAATTTCGTAGAGTTCAAAGGGCTTTAAAGGTAATGCAATTATCATTAGTGTTCAAAACTATTGTCCTGGTGTTCAATCTTCTCTGAAAGAATCCTGATTAGAAGTGACTTTTCTAAACCAAGTTTCCATTTACCCTTACCACTCCATTTCTTATATTTTAACATTTATGTTAGAATGTAGCATTTTAGTTCATTGCCTATCAAAAAGTTAGAATTTGCCTACATCATTTGGTGCCGGCATAGGGTAGCTGCTTATTAACTAGTCTAGTAAACCTGAGCGACCTTTCACTACGATACACCTGCATGAAATCAATAGGAATATGATATATTTTCTCAGAAATTGCAAGCAGAGCATTCACTCTATTTTTAATCCACTAGAAAAAAGGCAAAACTACAGCAATGATGAAATTTGACCTGAATCTCACCATCTGGATTCCTAGTCACATGACTACACCAATCTCTCAACCTACACCTCAACATGAATGTCCACATATCAAAAATTGGGTCTCAAGGGTGAGAGGAAACTCAATTACAAGCTGATGTATATTGATAAATTGTTTGCAGTATATACTAAGAATAGCCATATCACCCTCCCCAATCTTTTGTTTTCTTTTTTTTTCCTGGCAAGCTGCACACAGTAAAACTCCACCAACTAAGAGTCCTGAAATTTATTTTTGTTGGGTTTTACTAATAGCTAATTGTTTCCTAAATCTGCTTAAAAAATGAATTACACTTGAACACTATTCCAACAAGTGAAACAATCATTCTATATATGCAGTAAAATCTAACTTTTCACAAACTTTTCAAAAATATAATAGATATAGCTTAGGCATTCTAATTGAAGGCTATGATATGTAATAACTTTTGTTCTTGTACACACATCTTGTGTCTATTTGATTTGTCTATAATGGGTTGTTCCACTTCTTGATCCTACCTATGTAAATTAGCATTTAGGGCTAACCCAATGCAGCCTTCAAACATATCACACTAGCTAGTGTCAACAAATTAAATAATATGTGAAATGGTGGCTTATACTAAAACTGTACAAGTGATAGTTTTACAATTTTATAATCAACCCCAATCATGTATTTTTAGCATGACCATGCTTCAATATGATTAAAATCTAATCTCAGTTTCATGTAGGACAGAGGTGATCTGATTTAGATTGCTCCGTATTATGGCAGGCATGTCAACATCTTCCAAATACATTTACATATTTCATTTTGTTGTTTTTACTTTAGTGCTATGTCTTACAACCCAAATAACGGTCTTGCATAGCGTGTTCCAATGTCCTTGACATGGGAACAAGTAGTCAAAGTTTCAGGAATATCTCACACACTTCACAAACTATATCAACACTCTTCCACTAATTTATGTGCAATTAATCTACTTTCTGTGCTGTCTTTATCCTGGTGGAATCAAAATATGACATTAGCAAATGGACACATTTTCATTTTCCATTGATATACACTTGAATTTGTTGCAATGCGATGTTAATCAAGGTATACATATGTTCAAATAGGTCATGCAGAGGATGTTTTTTTAATGAAACAAAATGCTGTTTAGTTCCAATAGGCATAATATATTTTTTAATCATTTCATTTAAGAATAATGTTTCAACCTAACCCAATTTCAGCATTCCCAGCTTTTGTCGCTTTGGTCTCACTGGATAGTTCTGTATTTTGACAACCCCCAAATTTTTAAGGTAGAAGGCATGAGCCTAATTATCACAACCCTAGCGTTTATAAATTCACAAAAAATCAAAATCTGTAATGTGGTTTACATTTATATTGAGATAGGTTTGCAAATGGGTGTCTTGTTGGTGTCTACCTCTCACAGTTTGATTAGCATGATTAGCATTGGAGATCAAATGCATAACTTGGGCTGCAAATGAGCAACTGGCTTGGCTTACTTATTTACACCTGTCTGCTACAGAGGTAAATATCTAAAAATCTACATGGTTGAGGGGTGATGAAAGGTATTTTAATTTGTTATAGTACTAGTGAACTTTAAAGAATAATAATGTACATACTGATTCTTTGAGCCGCCTTGTCTCAGGAAAATGTTCAAAATATCTCTTTTCTGTCAAAAATGAATGTAAAAAAGAGGGGTTGGTGGCAGTATCAGTTCAGTATAAAATCCACTATTTGTATAAGGAATTCTGTAATACCTCAGTCGGAATCTTACAAACATGCTTTCAACAAAAATCATTAGTTAGTTTTTATTTGTATCTATAATGTAATGTTATAATAACTTTTTTGCAATAGGTCATCGTTGGATGAAAATTTGCCCAAAAAACTATCCTGTGAGACCATTCCTGCCAACAGAAATGTAGGTCACCAATAAAACTTGAAAACATGTCCATTACTTTTAAATTTTATTAGAGAAAAGACATGAGGGTAAGTAAAGTGGACAAAAACATAACTTCACTTTGTAGAAAAGCGTCGTTATTGGTTGCCAGTTGTATGTAATATTCCTGAAAATTTGACTTTCATTACATTGTTAATCAACATCAAAACAAGCTACACAGTGCCATTACTCAGGCAGTAAGATTTATCACCTACCCAAAAGAAAAATATCGGAGTGATGGGGCTAACGTTGTAGGACTAAGGAAAAACTGACTCCATGATGCTGTAAAATGGATCAATATCCAATCGGTTATTTCACAGTAGTCTGCAGTTTTATCAATACTTCCTCAAATGGTTCACTTTTCCAGGGTTTGTGACCGTAATGGTAAAAATAAAGGTTAATTCGACGGATTGGATTCATGCGATGGTCATCTGAGAGTGATTAGTACTACTATTAGTACCTTAGTCCTTTTGTGGACAAGGTACTAACATGAGTCTATGTGTGTTACTGGAGCAGCTGGGTATGATTCATACCTGCCTCTTTTTTTAGCCTGATATTAAACGTTTTGAACATGTTTTTGATATATTATGAAATAAAATGAGTAGTCTTCTAATTTAACACTGGAATAATCGCAAATCATTGTAGAAGTAGCGGTAAAATCTTGTTTACCTTTCTTATCCGATATTTTCGTTTTGATCATCCGCCATATTAGTTCAAATAATGCCTACTTCCGTCCTCATCCTCGTTTGTTTGTGTGCCATATAAGGACATTAATGCCTTATTTAGAAACGTGAACAGATCGTAGTAAAAGAATATGGCGTGGTTTGAGTCGGAAATTCTGCGCATTTAAATTAAATCTGGTTTACCAGTGACTTTGAAATTCCACCAAGAAGCAATTATTTTCTCAACAAAACCGTATTCTGCAACTTATGCAAGTATCCATCTTCTCGCGTTATGTCATTCAACAACTAATACTATAGCGTAGAATATCTATATATAGTATGACAAGCCTTATGTAAAAAAGGGGTCACGGCGAGTCTCGCGTTATCTGTCATGGTGGACACAATGAGGTTAGCATAACTATGCCAATTTATTTTACCGTGTAAGGGCTTAATAAGTTCAAAATAAACCAAACTTCTTTGACAAAATGATTATACTTATTTAATTGATTTCTAAACTAACTGTGTTTCTGACTCAAGTGAGGATCTTTTTTGCTCTATTACATGATATGGGATCAGTTCGAAGCCTCAGCCACAAAAAAATAAGTTGAGGCTACGACATCATAGCTAGAGAGTGATGAGAAGTTACGTTACTGTTTTTTTTTTTTTTTTAAATGGATATGTGTAGTTTTTCAGTGTTCGTGCGATTCTTAAGGAATAAAAGACGCGTGAGAAAATTTGAATCGAGCGGAGGGTTGTGGTCGAGTTGCATTCCTTGTATTATTTTATAATACCGTTAAGGTGATTTCATGTAGTCAGATATTTCGTCGTGCTTTATTGATAAAACTGCAGACTCCTGTGGTTATTTCATTATTGAACAATTTACAATTTATTATTTGAGATAAATTATCATAAATTATATAGTGATCATCGAAATTATGCTGTTTAAAAACAAATACTGGTAATACCACAACGAAGCTCGTTACCTATTCTACTGTAAAGTATAATGAAAAATTCCCATACGTTTCGCGCTTAACAGAAAGTTATCGTTCTTTGCACACAATGACATTCCGTGAAACAAGATTTACATGCCACATGATCAAAGAAAATTAAGCGACCTTTATGATACATCTTGTTTTATCTTTTCCTTCTACTTCTTTGTAGCAACATATTCCTTGACATCAGAGAGAAAATTCCAAACTTTGACGGTTGTTTTACGCTCTTCGTAGTTCGTTACCAATCGGAATACTTCGAATTATCTTACCGGTCTCTTATGCAGTATTATCTTGTCGCTAAATAGTCCGGTCGGATATTTTTTTCCCCATGCATTCATGCTGTCTATTTTATCATGCGTGCCTTATCCGTCTCCAAGCAATTTTTTTTTTATCTGACTGAAAAAAAATTCTGTTTATGTGATTATGATTTATTTAATGTAGCTTTAATTTTTTAGTCATATCGCTACGATGTCTGCAGTATGGCAGTTTATAGTGATGTATAGCACCGGTGCATCATGCCGCAGACATGTAGTATGATGTTCCAACCAGTCACATTACCCTGACACCAGGCCGACCAGTCCTAACACTAATCTCTTAATGCTGAGCGCCAATTGAGGCAGTTGTTAGTACTATTTTTCTAAGTCTTTCGTATGACTCGACTGAGGATCGAACCCACGACCTCCTCGCATCCGAGGCAGACGCTCTAACCACTAAACCATCGGAGCGGTTAAAGAAAAATCTATTCAGTTCAGTTTGATTTTAATGAGAATCAAATGTTCTAATTGTCTGATTAAGTTTATATATATTAAATAATGTATCGTATGTACGCTGTATCAATGATGTCTACGTTTATAGGACTATTAAGAAACGGGTGGTGCGTGGTCAAAGATAAAGCAAATATAGAAGTGATAGGATAGCCAGAAAGGTAATGACAGGAAATGCAGAAATTAGTAAGAGTGTCAGTGTACGTTTACGTCCCTTCATAGTTAGACCAATTCGGCGACCGTAGCGGCGATGATATATGAAACCTCAACCGGTATAGCCCTTAGAATCACTAGGTCTTATTTGTAGCTGACTACTTAATTAGAGTGTGATTTTGCAAAGCTCCTACTTGTGAAACAATCTGTCAATGCTAACTTTAATTAGAACTTTTCCATACTTTGGCTATATGCCAGGGTCATGTATTTGTCCACTAGATTGTTCGCAATCTTGTAAAACAATGCCAGCTGGGTCTTGGTTCGCCTAGATTCGAGTGATTCCCACCGGAGATGGTTTAACATGGAACTGACATTGCTATTGTTGCGATACTTATTTGTGGTGATTCTAGCAGCTTTCTTCTGAACCATCTCTATTTTATAGACTTATGATATACCACTATATATTATATTATATACATACATACATACATACATACATACATACATACATACATACATACATACATACATACATACATACATACATACATACATACATACATACATACATACATACATATATATATATATATATATATATATATATATATATATATATATATATATATATATATATATATATATTTATAATTTAAAAGAAACAAGGTTTGCCGAGTTTCCTTTTAATGAAAAATTGATAGAACGAGTTGTATATCTTTGATACAGAGTACATACTATACATATATTTTATTTATATCACATACAAATATTTGCCCTTTGAACCGAGTTAAGATATCATACAGGCAACTGTTGATTGAACAAGTAAATGAGCTCCTCACATCTACGATTGGGTCCGCTACAAAATGTAGTTCTATGCCTTATGTTGCTATTTACAATCACCTTTGCCTATTGATAAATTGATTGTTTTATTTCTTTTTACAGTTTTTATTTTTCTTCACATTATTTATATCAATATAATACGCACTTATGATTTAAACGTGAAAGATGGTTTTAATGATGAAAGTAGAGCACTCCAAACACTTGGTTAGCTACGCAAAAAAGCAAAACATGAACGCTTAGCCATTCATGTACCTGCGCACGGAAATTAATATGGAATAGAAACTAAGTGAAATGACGAAACAGCAAGAGGTAATCAAAATATTTTAATATATTTACTCTCTCTCTCTCTCTCTCTCTCTCTCTCTCTCTCTCTCTCTCTCTCTCTCTCTCTCTCTCTCTCTCTCTCTCTCTCTCTCTCTCTCTCTCTCTCTCTCTCTCTCTCTCTCTCTCTCCCTCTCTCTCTCTCTCTCTCTGGACCATCGAAGCTAGCTGCGGACCAAAATGAATGAAATGACAGGCGTCGAGGATTTTCGTTTGTGTCATCCCTTGTGGCTTATGAATGATGGTCTAAGTTAAGTCAAGCTGATAAAAGAATATGAGAGAGAGAGAGAGAGAGAGAGAGAGAGAGAGAGAGAGAGAGAGAGAGAGAGAGAGAGAGAGAGAGAGAGAGAGAGAGAGAGAGAGAGAGAGAGTAACTGTTGAATATACATTAGGAAATGTCTATTTCATATTATTTATTTTTCCAATGTTTTTTTTATATAAGAATAAAAATATGAATAAAACTGTTGACCTCTATTTATCTATACAATTTTTAACGAATTGTTTATGTATTTTTATGATCCAGTTTTATGTATATTTGTTTTTAAATGTGATATATATATATATATATATATATATATATATATATATATATATATATATATATATATATATATATATATATATATATATATATATATATATATATATATATATATATATATATATATATAAATCGTGAAAGAATAAGACATTAAAAATGCAAGTATGACGTCATCTTGTTTATGTCATATTGCTTTGTTATCACTTAGAAACATATTATATTTAATGACGTAAACAATGGTATTGAAGTCATTTTGAATTCAGTCTGATGAAGCAATAAAGAGAAACCGGTCACACATTATATGTGTTGTTTATTACACACACACACACACACACACACACACACACACACACACATATATATATATATCCTCGATAAATTAGGCACGATACTAAGTTCATATATTTTTTTAAATTTTTTAATATGTCTGTTGTTAAGACACTGTGGTCTTAAAGTAAGTAGTAGAAAAGAACGAAAACCAGCAAGTTTTGTAAAATTCAACAAATTAATTTTCAACAGAACACTATGTTAAAATTTAAAAAGACACTTACATTTTTGTGAATTAGTCTTTTAGACTAGTGTTTGTAGTCTGGAATGTGCTATGTCCTTATTGCTTGGACTGTGCCGATGTGTTAACAGTATTTTGATGTAACACAATTATATAATTAAAAAGGTTCTTGTTTGAATTCAAAATATTTCCAAAGTAAGTATTTATTCCTAGAAGTATTAATGAGCTGTTTATGATTCCAGTGAATACTTTAAATAAATGAATCCATCCAAATTAGTAAACAGAACACAATTAAAAGACTGAGTCCACTTCGGATGTTAAGGAAGCAATGAGCAATTCTTTAAGTAAACAACATTGATATAAAAAAGTTAAGACACAATAACAGAGCCAAGATGTACGCCAGTACCCTTTCAAAAAAGATTCAAAGTTCTAATGAATTTACTAGTGAAAATCTAATGTTCTAAACTCAGATACAAATAAGTATATTTACCCCCAATATCGATGATCTGAATATTTGATCTATAATCGTAGATGATGTTTACAAAATGGATGTTATAAGTCAAGTAGACCATTGACGTGGTTTTTTGACAAAGGTCAATTACAAAGTACATATGTACATAACATATAATCATTGGGAAAAGCCAACATTTCAATACAAATTAAATATACATCACAGTATATATTTAAGTTTGTTTTAAAGGACAAATCTACCTTGCTGACCAATGAATGCATGGTATGCTTAACAGGAGCGACTTTGGCGTCGGTGCCAAAGATGTTGTCGTCCTCTTTGAGGCATCTTCGACTTTCAGGCACTAGTACATCTAATGCAGAACAATATAATCTTCCATTATTCCTTTTATTTCAAATTTAAAATGTGCCGAGGTGGTCAAAGACGTCACACGATGAAATTCATCACATTGCGATTCATGCGCTGTCATAACAGTAGAAGGCACAGAAAACAGGTATAGTTCTGACTTGAAACATTCGTTTTCGGTAAGAAGATCAATGTCGGAGATAAGTTCACTTAAACTGATGCTGAACTGTTGTTTTAAATTATGACAACTGTAAATCTTATCTTATATTTTCTTACCTTAAGAGAATTTGTACTTGAATAACTATGTGATGTCTCGAATTTTGAAAACTCTTAGAAGCACTGGTTAAAGGAATTGTATCAAAGTCAATTTAATTAAAATAGAAAGGGCTAGAGATAGTTAGATGATTATTTTCATTTCTTCTCTGAACTTCAGAAGGGAATTCGTTCCAACAGACGTAACTTGACCGAGTCATATGCTATGGTACAAGAGAATGACATAAGACCCTTTCCCAAAATCGACCGGGTAAAGGAAGAAAGCTGGTCATAAATGATTGTTCAAAGGAACGTTAATTACGTCATGATTAGTTGTTTAGTTGTCTTGTCAATCCAAAAATTCTACGGAACAGATTCATGAAACAGTCTATTCCGATTGGTTAATATGGATTTATGGGCGTGACTCTGTAAGAAACTAAAGGTTTTACTTTAGGAAAATTCTTCCGTCTTCAGTCGTTCTTGAAAGAAAAGGGGTAGACTCCTGGAAAAGCGTGAAAGACGTTATCTCGAGATTTGGCAGTAAAGCGTGAGAGTTGTTTCAGCGAGTAGACAAACTCTACCTTCGAATTCGTAAAAAGTACGTTTTCGTTTTTGAGTAAGGAGCCAGATAGTTGACTCAGGATACGGACTATACGTGAGGTTCGTGGAAACGAAAAAAGAAAACGGCAAAAGAAAACAGCTTTCCTGGATTCACCTGAGACATCCCTGAACCAATCACAGGACCAGAGAAAATTCTAAGCCGAAATCTAAGTCCAGAGACGATTGCTAAATCAGTGTTCGACTGACAAGAGTCCAAGAACAAACAGCTAGACAAAGATCGGGAGAGCAGGAACGAACTGAAGTCTTGATGTCCGCATAAAATAGGTGATGAAGTCTCTCATCGTTGCATTCAAAGGTCACATCTCGTTGGCAATGAAGATCGAATATTAAAGTTGAAAGTAATTGTAGCCTTTAAAGAAATTTGAATTGTCTTCCTATTTGAGTACATGTTAGTACAATTTTCCTTCTTTTGTAACCAAGTAATTGATTTATTTTCATTTTAAATTCTGTTGATAGACATTAAATTTTGTATTTGGTCATTGAAAGGGGACTCGTTGTGTTTATTTCTTCAATATACTTGTTCAGTGATCTGCATTCTTCTTTCTATCTATCCACACCGCGAAGGTCATTCCCTAGCAACGAACTGTAGTGAAAGAAGTTGGTGTGTTTTGAACGCTGCCAATTTGTCACACTAGAGAAACTCTAATGTTCTAAACTCAGATACAAATAAGTATATTTACCCCCAATATTTATGATCTGAATATTTAATCTATAATCGTAGATGTTGTTTACAAAATGGATGTTATAAGTCAAGTAGACCATTGACGTGGATTTTTGACAAAGGTCAATTACAAAGTACATATGTACATAACATATAATCATTGGGAAAAGCCAACATTTCAATACAAATTAAATATACATCACAGTATATATTTAAGTTTGTTTTAAAGGACAAATCTACCTTGCTGACC